TCAGTGAGCTGTTGCCAGCTAAGTAGGCACATTAGTTCCTGTTATTCACCTAGTAAATATACTTTTATAAGAAGAACCTTTGAGCTTTTTGCCATCCCTGTCTTTTTGTTGTGTCCACCCCCATGTCTTCATTTTTGTTGGCACTGCTGGTATTGAGTCTTACAAGTTTAACTCTCCCTGACAGAGACTGCACAAGTGTGATCTCGCAAGTGTGCAGCATATTGACAGCATGGTTTCAAATTCCATCTCGGGTCCAAAGCAACCAGCTAGAACAGGACAGATATGGTCTAGTGAGCCAAAATCCCATCTAGATTTGGGGACAATTACCTCCAAAGTTCACTAAGGTAGGCTTTTATGTTTGCTTTTTTTTCTTTTGGAAAAGAGCACACACACACACACACACACACACACACACACACACACACACACACACACACACACACACACACACACACACACACACACACACACACACACACATTAGGAAAATGTGCAGCAAAGTTTTATGCATAAAAGTATTGAACTGGGCTTTTGATGAAAGAGAGAAGGGAAAACATGTGAGATAAACTCAAAGTAGCAGCATCATAAACATGCAGCTCACGCCGTGCCTGCTTCTCACAAACTTCTATTTTATGTTGGTTTACGACAACAGTTTTCAAAACAGGAAAGTAGTTGGATATGTCAAATTATGTGTTTAAACCAAAACACGACTGAGAGATGAATAGAGTGGTGCACAGCCTATGAAAGCTAAAAGCACCATGGATTCCTTTCAGCTGTCATTCACACTTAAGGACAGCTTTGTCTGTTATTGATTTTTTTTTTCTTTTTTTTTCTTTTCTTTTTTTTTTAAACGCTTTAGTGGCCAAAAGTAGTATTCTACCTGCATCGACAAGTAAAATTCATTTATTGCATCAACGGAAACTTCAGATTGAATTTGACTTACTTCAGAGTCCCAGAGCTTCACATAACAGTGAGGAGAAAATGCAATTTTCCTCAGCTTATCCATCATTTATGACAATAAAAGTTTATATTTCTGTGCCTAAGTCATCCTAGAGTAGTGTTTCATGCCCGTGTAATTTAAGGTGCCAAATATGGTGTATGGCTTTTTCTTTCTTTGGGACATTAGCCAGCCATCTGATACCATCTTCATAATTCCTTAGCTCCTCAGTTTAATAATGTCCCTGTTTAAACAATATGACTGACAATGTTGAACTACACTGATACTTTAAATACCCCGTGCTTCTGTCAGCGAGAGCTTAAATGCAACCCAAGCTAAAAGACATGAGTCTTGGCTGAAAAGCCGAAAATACCAAAACTTTATGTGTAAAAACTATTTACTTCACTGGAACCTGTCCCAGTTGTCATTGGACAAGAGGCAGAGTACACCCTGGACAGGTCGCCAGCCTGTAGATTCAATCCATATCCATGCGCTTGATTGAATCCCAATGTAGTGGACGTTATCTGCAGCTGTTACTTTGTTAAAAAATAGGACATTGCTGCTTAGTAAAGAAACAAAAAAGCCTTAAGGAATCGCCTAATAGAAAGTGAGTGGTGCATTTCAGCTTATTTTGTGTTGTAGAGTTTGGATGCTGTGGCTCGGAGCCTTGTGCATTACTCTGGAGAAACGAGTTTGTGTTGAACTGTTGATGGTGCACCTCATTACTGTAGCTTGGTGCCTCTCTAAGGACTGATTAAGGATTAAGCACATTTGAGAGTGCCAGCACGTACATATTGCATCTTCTTGTTTCATTATCTATACACAGCTCCTTTATCTGCAGCTTACTGTATATGCATGCAGGGCGTCAGTGTGCCTGCCAGTGCCTGCATTGTGTTCCTCAGAGGAAATCCTACAATCTCTCTGTTCTGTCCTCCACTGATAAATCGATACTCATTTCATCTTTCCCAAATGTTAATAGATAGAATGGGAAAAACACAAATATTTTATGTGACTGCTGGCCAGACCAAAAAAAAAAAAAACTAATAATGATGTCTGATGCTCTCTGCAGAAGAGGAAATAAAATACTGCATGCATGCAGAAAACAATTACATACAGTATGCATTATGGTAATTTTTTTCCAAAAAAATTGCCCAAATATTTCTTGGGCAAAAAAACTAATATAATCATGTGATGATAACTGCTGGTGTGTGTTGTTGCAGGAAGACAACCAGATGAAAACTCACATTCGGACCAGTTTAAGTGTTTGACAGAAACTAAGACGCTGAGCTTTTGCTTGTGTGGGAGGACTTTTTCCCCCCCTTAAACTTTCCTATAAGGTTGTGTGGCTCTGGCACAAAGATCACAGCAACAACTTTATAGGTAACAAAAACAAAAACCACAATTTGATAAGTATTTTTGTTTTTAATAAAAAAAAAAGCCTAGATTTTGGAATTTAGCAACACTTTTCCAACATTTTTTAAGTTTTATTTTACATTTTAGTTTATTAGTAATGGGAAAACCTCTTAAAATGGGTAGTAGTATGAAAGTACAAACTTCTGTGCAAAAAAGATGTATGTACACACCACTCACATGGAGCTCTTAGTCACTTTTACTGATTAAAGCCTCTGTTTGCATTTAAGCATTCGTTTCGGTTTTTGGCAAACAATTTTTTTGTTTTTTCTGTGGATCTGGTTTTATATTTCATTTATTAACTGGAAAATTAATTCTGGCTCGGTCATTTTTATGCCCAAAATGCTAACATTAGTTAACATAGTTACTTTCAGTGCGCCCCAGGGTGGCTGTGGCTACAATGTAGCTTGCCATCACCAGTGTGTGAATGTGTGTGTGAATGGGTGGATGACTGGATATGTAAAGCGCTTTGGGGTCCTTAGGGACTAGTAAAGCGCTATATAAATACAGGCCATTTACCATTTACCAGTTACTTGTAGATTATTCATGTAAGTCTGATATGCAAGTAAAATGTCAAATTTCAAGTCTGGTGATATTGAATATACTTGACTGATACATTTAGTTTATACTAAACATATTTTCCTTAATGATTAATTATTGGAATAAATAAACCTCATTTTATGGTCTTTTGCAGATAGTGTTGTGCATTATGGGTGTAGATATAATTTATTGATTTCATCAGAATAATTTTCCTCATCCCTTTAAGTAAATCAGTATTTTTGAAAACTACTCTATTCACCATGAATAATCCACAGATCTGAGACTAAACCCCTCACTTTTTCAGTGAAAGGATTTTCAGATGTGTGGCATAATTAAGTGATTGTTACCTTTCTCGAAACCCAGTAAAGTAAAACTTTTACTCATTTACAAAAAAAAAAAAATCTAGTGTGAATTCTCCAAGTTTTGAAAAATTCTTCAGGCCTTCAGTTCCAGTATTTCTCTTTGTGGATCTTGGAGTCATTTCATTGGTTTGGTATACACTTTTATACACTGACGTCTGAGTGGACTCGAGAATTTTTCTCTAACTGATGTAATAGTCAAACACTTCACAGTTTATTAAATTAATGCTTCAAAATCAAATTATGTAGAAGAAGACGAGAGTCCAAGGCTCTGTAAAACATCTCATTACAAAACGCACACACAGCATCTCTTATTTTCTACTTAGAGGGACTACAACAAGTATTTCTTAACTAACTCTCACTGATACCTAAAGGTTGCTGTATAATTTTGTTCGCAGTGTAGAAAGTTAAAAAGTAAGCGAGCAAGGCAAAAAGAAATGCTGCTATCCTTGAGTTAATATCACTGTAGTCAGGTGGCATGTGAAGCCTTAATGCTGGTGATTTTACCACCCAACTATGTAAAATAACAATAAGCCCAAAACATTTTTTTTAATCTGAGTGAATCAGTCTTTAAAATAAATCTTTTAAATGTTGTTCTTATGCCAGCAACAGCGCACCAGAGTGCATGAGATATAGTGTAAAAAGAAATATTGAGAAATTTAAACATTTATATTAAATGTTATTTTTGTGATATGTAGAATATGGTGTGAGTTTTTCAGCTCTGCCTAAATTAACTTTCATTTTAATGGACTGTGGGAAATAAAAACTGCACAGACGCACACAATACACAGTCACATCTGATATCTTTCGCTGGCTTGCCAGCCTCTTATAATGCCTCTGATGCTCCCCGGCACCTAACAGTGACCATGGATACCAGCGCATCTGTGCAACACAGTTGTTCGCCGTAATCTGCAAAACAATATTCTCATCTCTCAGTCTAGCAACTTGATATTGTTTTGGTCTCATCTTTGCAGCAAAGTTGTTTTTAGGAAAACTAAAAAGTTATGATAAGTTCATTGTAGCCTTCCTGCTCTGAACAAAAGAGCAAACACGCACAGTTAGTAACGAGCTGGTGAACATGATGGAGCATTTGGCAGCCAAAAAGACAAATATTTCATTCCAGTTTTGATAAAAACCACGAGCAGAACAGAATGGAGAGTTAGCTTCATCATGTGTCAGATAGCATGACTTGAAATGAATGTTAATGTTGTTCGGTATGTGGTGAATGTGTAAATAAGCAATTGTTTCCATGGCAAAAATATGTCAGTGTTCATTTACAGCTTGCTGTGCCAAAGTCAAGACATCGTAAATTAATCCATGCAGTTTAATTAAATGTTTGGCTGATGTCATAGCTAAGGGCATGCTGATAAGAGCCTTGAGACCAATTTGTGGTGTTAGGCTATATAAATAAATTTCCTTGACATGACTTAGCACTGTGCCTTTCATTTCATGTACATAATATTCATTAAAGCAGTCATTATTGCAGCGCTTTGCTTTGTGATATAAGGGGGATTCTACATGAGGTGTAGGAGCTCTGCTATCACAGACACTCTCCGATTCATGATTCCAAATGACCGACAAATGTTTTCCTACCCCGTTTGTTACGGTCTGGCCCACTTTGATTGCCTCAGTGATGAGAATGACAAAATAACAAGAGAATTTTGATCAAAGACTCGGTTCAGCCTTTTCGAGCATCTGAATGTCGAGGCGGTGACGTGTGTAAAAATGCCGCTCTACCTCTCTGTCTTCCTCAGGTGAGCACCTGCGTGTCTGTCCTCAGGGATACACCTGCTGCACGTCAGAGATGGAGGACAAACTTAACCAGCAGAGCAAACTGGAGTTTGAGAAATTGGTTGAGGAGAGCAGCCACAAAATGAGAACAACATTTGTCTCCAGGCATAAAAAGTTTGATGGTAAGTTCCAGTAGATTGATTTGTTTTATCTATTTAACATGCAGAGACTGTGATTCATAGAAATTTATATCCCAGACACCACCTCTCCAAGCTGAATGTACTGAGACAAGCACTGTCAAACTTGTAACTACAGACTTCTGATGTCATGATTAATTATTACTTTGACTGTTATTAATAAGAAATGAGCTTATCTGGTTTAAAGATGGTTATTCTGGAGCCTTGCTATTACACTTGACTTCTTCACTACAGTTCTGCATTATTTGGATTTTCTTTATCTTCAGGGCTTTCTAGCTCACTATGATGTTGTTCTTCCTTATGCACATACACTGTGAACTACTGACATTTTGACAGTAAAAGATGGCACTAATGTGGCTTTTAAAAATATTTTCATTCTAATGAGCCTGTCTGTATAAGCCAGGGTTAAAGTGGGATTTTGCAGGTGAGAGAATACTAAGTTCTGGTGAAGCAGTGCAGTCTGGAGAAATGACTCACTCTGCAATAAATCATATAATAATATATATATGAGCTCCAGTACATGTGCTTTGTTTTTAAACCGGCTGTGATCAGCTGACCTGGTCTGATGCTGCTTTTGAGGTTTCCTACTCATTCTGATTTTAGCCATCTACATTCTACAATATACAAGCAGATGTTATATGAGCCATCAAGGCAGATGTCTGATTGCTAGCCACTATGAAGCTGGTATAAATGTGGAATTTGGCAAGTGTTACCAAAGAATATCATCAGCTAAATGCAAACTGACTCCTAGCCGAGTCCTGTTACTCAGCAGCGATCTTTTGCTTTATTTGGATGGTTATTTTAAAGCAGTGTCTGAATTAACCTTGATTTTCATAGTCAAGAAGAAATAAAAACTGTATGCAAAGAATCTCTGGTCTGATCTTATAAGTATAGACCATGGTAATGAACATGGATACCACAGTTTGCCCTGCACCAGTTCTGCATAACTGTAAACTGTAAAAGAACACTGCAAACAGCCCAGTTTACCCAGTTTATTCTGCACATACTGTCCAATACGGCATTTGAATAACATTAAATCTATGATTTAATCTGCTTTCAAAGATATTTCCCAATATGAAATAAAGATCTAGATTTCTATTACTGTCCAGTAGCTGTAGTACTGCAGTATATTGATAACGTATGGTAGCACTAAAATGTTTGCATTTTTTACTGATACTGACATTAAACTTGTTGCAACCTCATACTAATAACATAATGTTGTTTGCTGCTTTAACATATTTAGATAGTATTACTGTATCATAATACTGATATATCATAATGGCCTGTATGTAATTGAATGTTAAAAGATTATTAAGGCAAGCTTCAAGTAATTTGTTCCTACAATTGAAATCCTAGAACCATGTCATGAATCAAAAACAGGTGTTATGGTTGTTTTATATTACAGCACTGAGATGTAAACAGTTTATACGTGTCTATACAGGCTGAATGATGACCCAAGTCTTCAAATTATAGTTCACAAAAGATTTGTTGATGAGCAAATACAAGAGTCAGAGCCTTCGTAAGCGTGCTCTGTCGCCACCATAAAACCTACGGAGGGAAACGGCAGCCTAAAAATGAGCATAACTTAAAATCCTGACCATATCGCCTCTGTCAGTGCGCCCCAGGGTGGCTGTGGCTACAATGTAGCTCGCCATCACCAGTGTGTGAATGTGTGTGTGAATGGGTGGATGACTGGATGTGTAAAGCGCTTTGGGGTCCTTAGGGACTAGTAAAGCGCTATACAAATACAAGCCATTTAGCATTTATATGACAGCTCAGCTTAGCTGTCTTTGATAATAAAGCTGTTTCTCTGAAAATTAATTGAGATTCACCTTATTAATGACATTCAGCTTTCAACAATATTTTAATTAATGCAATGATAATGTTTGGTTAAATGTTGATGGCAATTATATTCAACGTAATGTAAGATAGTAAAACAAATATTGCTAATGTACAGTTTCCCTTAAATGTTAATTATTGGGACATATAATGGATGTGGAGTGTAACCTTTTCTCATTGAAAAACAAATTTGAAAGTGCTTCTAATATAACTAGATAACTTCATCATATACAGATCCACTGTCTGATTCAATTAATTTTTTTAACCTTTAAATATTTATTTTATTAAACGTCACTTGCAGAGCAGTCCTTACCTTTAAATATGATCTGTCAGCTTCTGCTGTTATATTTATTTCCTCTATCTTTCTCTATCTCTGAGAGTAAAATTATCCCATGTCAGTGTTTTTTTTTCTCCCTGGAAAACAGAGCCTTTGTACCTTAAGCTAGCAGACAGATTGTGCACCAAGATGCACAAAAACAGTTTGTGTGTTCACTGATATTTGTTGAGCTGTTTCAAATCCTGTATCTGAGATAACCTGCCACTTAAAGAAAAAGTTGCACAGTTATGCTCTCTCCTCTTAAGTAGAGGTAGATAGATGCTGATATACGGCAACAGAAACTTTATTGACATCGACAGCATGAGTGCATGACACGGATAAGAAGGAAAAGAGGAGGCATGCAGCTGGAGTCATGACTTTACTGTCTCTGTGACAACAGTTGAAAGCACTGCCAGACTGTATCAAATAAAAAATGAACTTGCCTGATAGTATTTAGTGTTAAACTGCCTATTTAATTACTCATTAATCGAAGGTGTCAGAACGTTGTTCCAGGTTGTTCAGGCCCACTTTAATCCCTGTATAACTGCTAGAGCTCACAGGGCTTTAAACCAAGGCTCCATGGTGTTTAATGCCATTTACACTTGTGTTTCTGCTTGTGCCATCCAAGGCTTGCTTTTTTACACTAACTAAAGATATCATGTATTCTTTTGAACTAGTCAGATGGAAAAAACAAATTGTAGGTGCACTGTTTTTTCCATAACTAATAATAGTAATCTGTTGCTTGAGTCTGGTTGTAGCTGTATGCTGCTAATGTAATTGACCAAGCATTACCTACATTTAGGTCCATACGTTTTTGCAGAGTAACACAAATCAAAGAATAAATGCACTGACCAGCTCAGCAACACCAAAAGACTTGAATGACCACAGAAGACAACTAAGGTGGATGATCGCAGAATTATTTCCTTGTTTAAGAAAAAAAACTTTACAACCTCTATTCAAGTCAGGAACATTCCCGAGGAGGTGCAGAGGGTTTACACACAAGAATAGGCGGGTCAGACTAGACTTTGTCAGGAAACGTCTGATATAGCTGGTAAAATTATGGATAGGGAGAGACTTATGATCTGAAGCATACTACATTATCTGTCAAACATGGTGGAGACAGTGTTATGACATGGGCATGTATACTGCCAGTGGAACCAGGTGATTAGTGTTTATTGCTAATAGAAGTAGCAGGATTAATTGTGTAAAAAATATACAGAGCTTTACTCGCTGCTAAGATTCAGCCAATTGCAGCAAAACTGAGTGGACAGCATTTCATGGTGCAAATGGATAATGACCCGAATGACCCAAAGCAAACTGCATAAACAACACTGTCTTTCTCAAGGCAGTGAAATGGGATAGTCTTCAATGGCCAAGCCAGTTAGCTGATCTTAACTCAACAGACGATGCTTTTCAGTTACTAAAGACCAAACTGAATGCAGAGAGGCTCACAAACCAGCAGCAACTGAAGGCAGCTGCAGTAAAGGCCTAACAGAGCATCTGAAGAGAGGAAACCATGGGTGTCCAAGGGCTCTAGACTTTAGGGATTAAATGACTGAAAAGGATTTTTATCCAAGTATTAAAACAATTCTTAGACTGTATTTAAAATTCCATTAGCTCGGGTACTCAAAAACCAGGAAGATTAACTTTCTCCACTGTTGTTAGCACTTGTACAAGTAAAATGTGGTAGTTGCTGGTGTGTTATTGGTCCCATCAGCCTCTGTAAGTGGATGGCTGTGTAAAGAAGGGACTGTGACAAACAGTTTTTTACCCAGAGATGAACCTCTTTAGCTTTGGGGGGTGAAGTGAACAGCCGACCACGCATTCCTCACTGCAGATTAGAAGCTCACTGCCTCGAGTGCCTGCTGTTTTTAGCATTGTATAAGTATGAGGCGATCCAATTGTGAACAATTGAAAAACTATGCTGGCTTTCTGGAAAAAAAAGAAAAGCTATTGTGTACACTCCGTCTTAGTCTGTATAAACATCCTTGAATATAAATATTTTTAAATGAAATGACTGCTTAATTTAACTTTATATTATTCTACTATATAAACAAAAATTAGTTTAAAATAAATTTGTTTGTGCAGGTTGAAGAGGAAATGAAGGACCTTCGGTACAAAATATAGACACTAATGAATCTTGAGTTAGGGCATTTTTGTCATCCTTGGCTGAATACATGTCTAAAATCCTCCCTGTGTGATACGAACTGAAAACTGTGTAGTGAGTATAGTTGGAAGAAGCGAGAAATTGGTGTTCTACTAGCTAAAAACATCAATGGTAGTTTCTTTCAAATTTGTTACTGCCAAATGTTAAATGAGCCATCTGACAGGTTGGCAGTCAACTGAGGACAATACCTGCATGTCCTTGGAACAACAGCACAGTAGAAATTCAGTTTTTATTGTTTTAACTGGTAAAATCAGCTTATTTGTATAATTGTTAGACAAAGACTGAAGGCCTGATAAGAGATTGTTTTCAATGCCTAAATGCATAATTTAGATAAAGGACACTACTCATGTGTATAAATTAGTTGTCTGGTGGTGTCTTTTTTCTGCAAGTGCTCATTTAGGATAAACCTTCACTCTTTACCGTTGCATATTGACAAGATCTCAGACTGTTATACTATGTCGTTTTCTTTGAATCACACACTTACATCAGTTCTAGAGAGCACAAATATATGAAAATGAATTCCCACATTAAAAAGATCTTGTAATTCACAGTTTTGTTGGCTCATAAGCTTTTTTGAAAATGTATGTAATTTCTGACCCCGCAGTCTTGGTTTTGATTAAATAATATAAATGTGCAGCAGAGTTCTTCTTCTGTAAAAGCTTA